CGAGAGAAAGCGTCCCTGAAAATATCACAGCGATTGGAGAAGGTTGCAAAAATCTCGATTTCGGATCGACAAACCTCACGCCCGCCGTAGCGGTGCATGGCCAAAATGTAACAAATATTGGAAAATGCTGGGATTATTTTCAACGGCCCACTACAAGTCGCTAGTGATGGAGAGAGGTTGAACGTGCTGATTTGCGGCATCCCTGGTCACTGGATGATTTTTCAATGAATTGATTTGAATAAAATGGCATTTTCGATACCACGCTCTATGCGCGGAGCCACAACGCTGTGACCATTTCAGTGGCCAAGGACAAGTCTGTCTAGAATTATGAAGGCTCAAAGCGCCATGTATTGGCTCGCGTTGAATATTTAGTGATCAAGCGCGTCCGGGCCAAGGTGCACGAGCACCTCACAGAGACTCTTGGCCGAACCTGACCGCTCGATCGTCGACCGCCAACGACTTTATGGCCTGCTGCCCGTGGCATGAGGTGCGGGAAGTGGCTCTGGCCCTTGGCGAGCATACCGCGGGCTTTGGACGAAACCGTGCGGCACTCAGGAATGGAGTCGAGCAGCAGCGTCTGCCGGCAGATGGTGCCGAGGTGCAGCGTGAGGTCCTTGGCGTCGTTGACCATCGAGCACATGTTGTAGAAAATAAGTGCAGCCTTCTTCGTCTCCGAGATGCGATCTGCCAAGCCGCGCAGAAGCATGGTCATCACAAGCGAAAGCAATGGCGCGTCGATCAAGTGCACAAACTTCATCGACTGCAGCGCTTGCATCGCCTCCGTCGTCGTGTGGTTCGGGCTTGCATGTTGGCGATACGAACCGAGAGAAAAAAGCTCATGACGTGGTCGCGCGAGAGGATCTCTGTCTTGGCGCAGTGCTCGATGCACGCGCCGAGGTGCGCCAGCATGCCTCTGTCAGCCTCCATCTCATTGTGGCGGTGCATGACCGGTGCGCCAAACGCATCGCACTTGGCCATGAGCGTCGACGCAATCGTGTCGCGAAACGGCTGCATGCCGCTGGCCAGCGCCGCAGCGGGCGCATCCGAAAGCGGCGAGATGCGACTTGATCTCGGCGCCATTTTCAAAGCGAGCGACAAAAATCGTCGAGAGCATCGGCCAATGTCGCCTTCCGGTCCTTGCCTTCGTCGTCACATGGCGCTTTGTGTATTGCCTTTCGGCCCGCTTGGCGAGCCTGTACGAGCGTCGAGAGCAAGTCGAGGTCACTGACGATCGAACGACAAGGGCGGCCCGGCACAGAGCTGCTGCAAGACAACGTCGGCGAGAGGTTGGCCGACGCCGCGATTGCTTCCTTGTACTCGATTCACGCAGGCGTGACCGCGAGCATGCTTTTATGCAACAAGCGCTGCCGAAGCGCCTCGTGCTCTGGCTTGTCGTTCTCGACCTTCTTGGTTGTCGCGCTCGGGTCGGTGGTTCACTCCCGCGCGATATTTTTACAAGCCAGCGCCTCCAAGCGGCCTTCTGCGTCTTGGTATACAGCGCGTCGTCCGCGCGCAGTCAATGTCGGCGTCGCCGCTTTAAACGTTGGTAATTGTTGGTGTCTCGAGCGTCGTGCCCACGTGCGACTGAATGAGGTTGCTCAAGAGGAGCGCTTCGCCCATGCCGTCGCCACCAAACGCGAGAAGCGTCGCAATAGCACACTGCGCGCCCAAGGTGCGATGCGGCGTGAAGCTTGGCCTGTACGCATCCGTGAGACCCGGCGCCGCGTGAAATGGTCGTCGACGTGGTCGCGCACAATCTCATCATCTTTGGGCTTCGATGCGGCGACGCGAGGTCGACACGAACCGATCCTTGAGGCGCGTCAACTGGCTCACAATGGCATACTTGCGCGCGCCGTGCACGACAAGCGGGTGGTGCGAGCACGAGAAGGCGCGGAAAAAGCGCAAAAATCCCGAGCTCGTGTGTCTCGGGCAAACACGGAACCTAGTCAATCTGTGAGACCCAAGTAGCGCTAAAGACGTGTGGTACCTTGCGCCAAACGCGATCGAGCACAGCACCGACGCCTTGGAGAACAATGTAAGTGCCAAGCACGACGAGGACCCACGGCCACTGTAGGTGGCTGCTGAGGGATGTAAGCTCTGCTCAATTGAAATCGAGTAGAGAGCGTATAAGACGCGCCGCTGAGCAAGAGGTTCGCGGCGGCGAGAGGTCGCCGCGCGCCAGCGGTCTCTGTGCTGGCTGCCGTGCGCAAGCAGCAGGGCGTCACGCGTGAGGCGTTCGAGATGAGTGCCGCTTGCCTCTGCAATGAGAGATGATGAGCGCGCTCCGAACGCGACGTCGCGCGCCCAGCGCCCAATGCTGCGCCGGCGTTTCTCGTCTCGTCGCGGCGCCCATTTTGAAATGAATTGCTATTGATGTCCGGTACCATTATCCGGATGCCTTGAAACGACGCCACGAGCGCGACACGGTCGAGGCCATCACTCCTCGCACAAACGCTCGAGGTTGTCGCTGTCAGGGTTTGTTTCGGCGCGTCGACTATATACCTCACAGCACGTAGACGCCCAACATCAAAGCAAGGGCATTTCTACCGCTACGGCGCCGATGGCTGCGACCAGCGCTGCATCGACGCCAGCAACCACGGCCCAATACGAATGCGACAGCTCCGCGAACCTCTAGTGTGCATGTGCGCACCTACGCCTAGGTACTAATGCAGGCGCTCGATGGCTACGGCGCTGCTCAACATGTTTCGGATACCACCAATCGAACTTGGCGATCATCGATCCTCGACGCCGCAGACCCAAGCTCGCTTGCTACATGAAGACGCTGCGATCTTTGTGTACGTGGTAAGCCAACGTCCTGTATCGTATGGATTCGCGGCGAAAGAAGGACCTCGGCCACACGAGTTTCACCGTCCACAGTCGACAGGACGCCCGCTTGCGACGACCCTGCTGTGCGACGACCCTGCCGTGCGGCCGAGGCCCTGCAGCGCAAATTGCGGAATGAGCAGCGCTCAAGGCTTCTACAATTTTCTTGTAAAAGCACTGCGTTTCGCCTTTGTCGTGCTCGCTTTTACACTTGTTTTTACACGACTGAACGTTTGCGCCGAAATGGGACATTCTCCGAGTGCCACGTCATAGAAATCGATTGTTTTTCGCGATCTCCTCCGACATACGAGGACCCATGAATCCCATCACACGCGTTGTGACAATACTGTAGATCACCGCGAGTGCGGAAGCCCGAGAATTGTGAGCTACAAGCCTC